AAAATTTATGCGCTAATTAAAGATAGTTAAAACTTATACAAGGAGCAACGGGAAGGGAAAATAGTCAGATTTTTACAATCAAGTAATGATGGTTAAGGTAAGTTGAACTTCTTCAGGTAGATTCAGATGACTTCAGCTATGTAATAAATATGAACTTGTTAGGCGAAATTAAGATTAGTCAGAAAATGATAGATCACTTTGAATGACTCGTTAACATAAACTTCATGCTCAGTATCTACAAAGGAACTACTACTAGACCTTGTTTGTCCCATGCATAACCACTCTAGGTTAATGTTCAGAAATCCGAGGATAATCAACATGACTAATTTTATGCTGAATGTAACTAAGCCTACAAGAACAATCAAACTGGTAGGTAAACATGGAGTAGGCGAAATTACGTAGTTTGTGCTTAATTCTCGAACGTAAAATTGGAGAGGTTGTGAACAGACAGCGAACTCCTGCTTCATTGATTACTGCTTTTACTGCATTCTTTAAGCGTTGTGTTATAATATCACTGATATTTTCCCTGAGTAACTGCAGTTTTATGAACAATGGCTTCTTGGGAGCTGTAGACATACTGGCTCGCTTTATCAATAAACTTTTCTGGAAATCCATTCTTACTCAGTAATTCTCTATTATTCTGGAATTCTTCAATTAAAACAGTCATCAGAGCAGATTACTCTAACTCTGTGAACCAAACATATCGTTAAATTGTTTAAATATCAAGAATACAAAACTCAGAAATGATCAGTTGATGTAGGTTTACTTTCTACACTCCCCTTTCCTAGTCATAAGGACATTTAGAAATGAAATACTATCATTTATTGTAGGATGTACATCATTAAATTTTTGAAGGATATTCTTTGCTTCATTCTCATTTTTACTAATCAAAAACGTATTATCCATGTAACGACAATAGAGTTCCAGTCCACCAATAATACCTTCCAAAGGTTTATTCTCTACTCTTGTGAGAAAAATATGAGTTAGAGTTGGTCTTATTTCTCACCCCATAGCCACATTATCAACTAGTCTGTAGAATTCCTTATTAAATAAAAAAAATGAACACTCATTATGCAGCTTAGACGTTTCTTCATGGAAAAGTAGAAGACCTTATTAGATGAAACATCGATGTTGGTATTCCTGTATCGTCTATTTTATTTATTTTATTCAAGAATGAAGGATTATTATTATTGTTCCCTTGGAATCCTAGTGGAACAAAGGGCTTCAACTACACGTCTCCACTTGCTTCTGTCTTCTGCTGTACTTTTCACCTGCATCCATGTTAATCCATTCTGTTTCAACTCCTCTTCACACGATCTCTTCTATGTCACCTTTGGACGTCCCACTCGCCGCCTCCCTTTTCGGGTTCCACTCGAGCACTGGCCTGACGCGCGATGTCACCCAACGGCCTCCTCAGCGAGTGTCCAATCCATCTCCACTTTCTCCTACATATTTGTTGAGCGATTGGTCCTTGTTTTGTTTGTTCCCATAGTTTCTTGTTGGTGATTCTGTCCGGCCATCTGATCTTCAGCATAGAACGAAGACAGTTGTCCATAAAGGTCTGCAACAGGCTGTTGGAAATATTCTTTGTAACCCGTCAAGTTTCTGATCCGTATAGAAGAACTGACTGACTTGACGTTTGTATTGAAAATCCGAATTTTGTTGTTGGTGCAGGCTGAGTGACGAAGATTTCCAGATTGGTTTTAGGTTGATGAATGTGTTTCTCGCCTTCCCGATTCTCCACTTGACATCCTCGTCCGTTCCTCAACAATGAAGGATGAACTACGTATTTTCGCTTCATCCATATGTGTTGTCAATAACAATTATTATTATTATTTCTTTGAGTTCCCAGTGGAACAGAGAGCTACAACAGTACATCTCAATTTCATCCGGATTTCCACAGTCCTCTTTATCTGACCTCACAACTGTCCATAAACTTTCCTCTCCACCTCACACAATCTCCTCCATGTCACCTGCAGACCAGTGCTCGTCTCATCATCTTCCATTCAGTTTGAACTGGGTGACCCAACGTATGACATAACTCAACGGTCAATAACAAATACTCTTTAAACATTATATATATATATATATATATATATATATACAGCTGTAAAGCAGATGAGGAATTTACGGGGAAGAATATTCTTTTATCGGCTAAATGTTTGTTTGGGAATTTTCGCTATATTAAAAAAAGAAGAAAAAATCATTGTCTACTCAAAATTGTTTGGGGGAATTTCCAGACATGATCAATATTTGCTAATCTGTCTTTGTCTGCTGAGTTTTCAGTAAAAACCATTCCATACTACTACTACTACTACTACTAATATTATTATTATTAATAATAATAGTGATAATAATAAAAGTATCAACAAGATGTCAAATATTTGAAGTAAAGAGTGTAAGAAATATGCCAACATTGGGGTTGGCATATTCAATTCATAGTTTTATACAAAATAATAATACTACAGTATGCACAATAATCATATATATATATATATATATATATATATACATATATATATCAGAAGAATCATCTGTGAGTCTGACAGTTGCTAGAATCAGTCTGAAAATCCTGATCAGTTAACAGTAACTAGTATATACATCAAGCTAGTTGTCAGTTTTATTTGATCTATTCTAAATGATGATAGAAGCAAGCGTGTCAGTAGGCTACTAATATGTGCACAGGAGAGAGTTACACATACTGAGTGAATGACGGCATAATAATTATGTATGAATTCACTATTTTTTTCTAATTTCTACTTCAGAATCTACACAACCAGTTTTGGGTGTGTGTGGGTGGGTGGGTGGGTATGAGTGTGAGAAGGAGTACAGAATAATACTTATATATATATATATATATATATATATAATGTATATTAGTTGAATTTTTAAATGATTGTATCATCTCTTACAAAATGTTTAAAGTAAATCAAATCGCTTCATCTATTCACTTTCTCTCCTGACTAACTGAAATTACAAAAATAGAAGAAGAAGAGGAGAGGCGATTTCATCGTAGAGATTTAAGAAAACAAACACCCACACTGAATGAATAATAACGATTAGTGAGAAGAGAGAACGAATAATACAACACACATCAAATTCACCAAATCCTTAATCCGATTCGATTTCGTGAATTATATATTTCTTCTAATATTTTGTCAATATCATTATCGATATCAAGCAAATGATCAGTGTAACAAAAGTAACAAAATTATCAGCTACAAAACATTTGTCTCATCTTACAGCATAACACATTAGGCTAGCTAGAGTTTCAATAAATAGTAATTATATTTAATTCTATTTTCGACACATCGTCGATAAAACCCGTTGCACAAGAGGTGGCTTTCGTGGTCCAAGTAGTCTAGTGGATAACTCTTTGGCATTTGAAACTGCGGGCACTGGGTTCTAGCGTCTGTGGGAACACTGTCATTCACTGGAGAATGCAGGTGCATCCAGTTGACGAGTCCCAAGCAGGACGAAATGCGCATCCTGGATTCTACTTCTAGTCAACACCCACCAATTAACTTCAATACTTATTATATGACTATGTTTAATCTCAATTTTAAAATAGTACAGAATATTTGTAACTCAGGTGGATGATTTTGATGTTGTGGTTAAGTTCTCTGAGATGGATGATTTAACTGCGCATGCTTCAAAATATGATATGAACTTAGTTCTCTCGATGAATGATATAACTGACGTGATTGGCTGTTAATTCGCCTTAGTATTGATCGTTTCTATTGACTTGGAATTTGACTTTTTGTTTTGTCTTCTAGCTTATTATTATATTTATTAGTCGATAAATTTGATCTGTAATAATAGTAATGAGTTTGTTGATTACTGATTTTAGATAAAGCAATAAGACGACGTAATTTGTCTGAATCGTGTAATGTATCTGCACAACACATTTCGAACAATCTGATCACACACGAACTTGTCATAGGAGTACATATATATGAAATTAATAAAGAGTTAAGAGGTGAGAAAATAGACCACTTAGGTCAAGTTAAAAGGATATATTCAAGGTCAAAATAACAATGAACACCACTAAACCAAATAGCAAAGGTAATAGTACATCTGCTATGGTATCAAAACAAAATTTACCAAAGAAAGTTTAATGTGATGACGAATTGTTTTTGGACGCATAGAGGTGGTTTAAACTTTCTAATTGCTAGGGCTTCCACAAACTTTAGGATACGTCCCAAACACCTATTATAGATAGGTTTAAAAGATCTGTTAACGTCAATTTTATGCCCTGTCTCCATAAGATGTTTCGTAATAGAGGAGCTAGGTCTCCTGTTTTCACAATTATTGGATTCTGAAGATTCCATTTGTTTCTGGAGCCATTTAAGAATATGCTCTGGAGCCCTTACTTGCAGAGATCGATGAGTCCTCCCCATGTATGTGTGTCCACACGTACATTCAAATTGAAAAAAAAGACTATTGATTTGTTGGAATACCAGACTTCTATGAAGTCCCTGGCACTTTTAATGTTTCTATACTGTTTAAACTTTCTGCAGTTGGTGCCCGTAGTTGTCTACATACATCCATATGAAAGAATATATATCACGTCTTTTTGCGGCTAGTTTATATTCTTGGATTCTGAGTTGAATCCGACATCCAACTTGACCAATATAGGTACTTATCACAGCTGATACAATTTATTTTGTAGATGGTGTTGATCTTGTCTTCTTTTGGTCTGCATAATATGATATGAAGTGAAGTGATTCTAGCTGTTAATTTAGAAACTTTCTCTCTCTGTGTGTATATGATAGGATGAATTTACAACTTGCAATAGAAACTATGACGTCATCTGAAACATGCATATCTATTACCCACGACGTTATCAAGAACACAGGAGGACGGCATTTTCATCTTTATATTAGCAAACAATCTAGAAAAAGTCTCAAAAGCTCTACCAATCTCAAATAATGACTCAGCATTAATTTAAAAAAAAAAGTAGACAATTATGCAATCAATGAAAATACAATAAAACATACTTTACTTTTCGAACCGGAATCGGCCCGTTGGATTCCAGATCGTAGTATGCCTTCTTTTGGAGCTTGTACTACAAGTTTACAATCAAGTAGACTGGATGTCTGTTGAATTTGAGAGAATACTTGTTCTAATGTGTGTACTCGTAGACCGTTTACTTCAAGTAAAACATCACCTGGAAATAAGGAGCCTAAAAAGCAAAAAAGCAGAATAGAAAATATAAGTTTTTAGAAGAAATAACACTTCATATATTTAACTGGACATTGATAAAGAGATATACTCTCAAAAAACTCCATTATGTCTTCAGTTAGACGAAACTAAAAGTACGCCATAGTAATTAATCATTCAGCTTAGTAACCGTGTTGCATGATGGAATGATCAGAGTTCCACCTTCGATGTATCTCTCTAGAAATATGCAAAAACAAGTGTATTTTTGTCCTAGTAGTTAGGATTTGTAGCTTAATGCAATCACTGAAACGCTAATCAAAAAGTCAAGAGTTCAAAGACTTTGACAACGGAAAGGATGTTCAAAACCACCCTTGCATTGTACATTTATTGTATAAATGACTGACAAAACAAAGAGGTCGTTCATTCCAAATGTTTTTCAAACCATGTACTTGCAGATGCTCCTGGTTTCTCAGGCTTGATATTTTCCATTTCATTTACATTAATGCCTAGGTTTTTGGAAAATGTCTAATTAAGATCAGTGTGTTTGAGCTCATCGTATCCGGTATTTCGCCAATTTATCTGAATATACTTTATCGTCAGTCAACCTGAATTGGGGCGCAGTTATCCCAATATATTCTAATGTCCTAGTGAAATCGTGGATAGCATTTTGTATTGTGGGTACATTAATACTTACAGTTAAAACTGATTGTTATGAAGCACAAAAACTGAAAGATATTCAATGGAGTAAACCAATGAAAAAGCATTAAAGGATGCTGAAAAAAGTCCCAAGAAACAGGAATTTCGAATTTCTGATTATCTCCATTATTACTTATTACACAACCATTTGATTCCAAGTGAAACGTAAGAGTTAAGTAGCATGTTTCCATTTCGACTGGTTCCCTGCAGTCTTTTCTAGTTGGTTGAAAAAGTTTTCTCTCAAGATTTCATTTCCTCCTCGCATGGTCTCCTCCATATCGGGTTCCAGTCGAGCATCTGGATGGCTCATGATACTACTCAACGGTCTCTTAAGCGTATGTTCAATCAATCCCCATTTCTTGGGCAATAGGTTCTCGTTTGGTTCACTGCACTCCCAGAGATCCTTATTGCTTATCCTTTCTGACCGGTCATCTGATCTTTAGCGTGAAGTGGTTAGCAAAGGCAACTGTTGACGAAAATCTACAGCAAACTGTTGGCAATGCCATATATCTGAATCGTATATAGAGACACTGACTTGGCATTAGTATTAGAAATTTACATCATTCTCCTTACTGTTGAGTACAGGTGCACAACTTCGTATACAAGTGTATTCACGTATGCTCACTACTAATGCGAGCATCTTCATCTATTTTTGATAGACTGTAAAAGGCATAGTCTTTTGATTGCACACTAGTCAGTAACTAGTGTAATGCATCTAGTCCTATTGTAACAACAGAAGACAAGGGCCAGGCAACAGAACTTTTAGTATGTGTAATCAACACATTTATTGATTTCGATGTACATTATTTTAGGTTAATGTTAGTAGAAAATACAGTCTGTTGATTGGTTGTTTCTCACACAAAGTTAACCTTGCATCTCTTGTGGCTGTGTCAGTTCATCTATATGTTAACTGTATCCGCCTGTCCATCTTGACCTTGATCTCAACTACTGTCAACCAATTTGGCTAGCAACCATCTCTCACCACACTATCTTCGCTGCAGACTGAATTCTAACAGTCAAGCTTGCAATGTGGCCACCATGCTAGGTGGCTCGCTAATACGGTGCACTGTGAATTGTTGGTATTAGATGGTTGTTGGCAATCGGCCACAGGAAGCCTTGGACCTAGGTTTCGTGCTAGTTGGCACTCAACAGCGAGGCGTATCTGCAACCTTGAAGGAACTCATGTCCCTTCTGAGATTCGAAAGGCATAGTCTATCAAAAATATTCAATCCTACCCTGAAGTTATCTTCATATGTGTATAGAACACCAAAACAACACGGCACAACACAACACACATATACCATATTGTGAATACAGCAAATAAATAATAATTAGACTGAAGAATTACACACGTATGTGTCATTTCCTTGATTAATTATAATTGTATCTATCAGCTAAGTTTATGCTTTTTGCTGAAAATCATTTTTTTTTAACCAAGAACTAGTTATGTGACAAGTTTTAGAGAAATGCTGATCTACACAAACCTGTGTGAATATACATATAGACGAAATCTTTATTTATCAAATACAATTTTCACATAGATATATATTTGTTTACTTAATAACTTAGAAGAAAGAGCAAAGAAAGGCGTATATATATTTATGTATGGAACCATGGCGTGATACTAGTTGGAAACTTCACTGTCTTTATTTTTTTAAAAGGTGTGAGGTTGCACCACAGAATTATAAATTAATTAATTATACAATGTGCATTACGTAAACAATATTTGCTTTTGTAAAATGTATCTATTTATTTATTTATTTTCAGTAGAATTAAAGAATTTACTATGAAAATAGTAAACTGTGTGAAAATTCTTAACCGTTTTTTTAGTAAATCATAGTTAACATAACAGATAGCATTTCAAGTGTTAGTTTGTAGGGATCAAGGACTGATATCAATTAGAGAAGCACTGAAAATCAAGGAGTTCTAAACAGCCGTTTCATGAGTCACAAGATTCTCTCCCGGTAGCTGAATGATCAACAAGACAGCCTTGTAATCTGAAGACTCGGGGTTCGATCCTCGGCGGGGTTATAGCTGTGTCCCGGATGAAGAGTCCCAAACAAGGACGAAACAGCTGTTCAGCTCTCCCGGGTTTTCTAATTTAAAACGAAGAAAATCGCTACAGACTAACACCGAAAAATTAATCTGATGCTCATTAGTGACTGGTTGCATGATGTTGTCTCAAACTTTAGTTAGAAATAGTGGGCAGTGAGGTCAACCAGGTAGGATGTGAGCACAATTACTAGCCAATGACACTGGTTAGCAGTCACGCTATAAAATAGCGGACTGACAGAAGTTAGATTCAGTCCCAACGGCTAAACAGTCAATGAGCTCGCCTTGTAACGTAAAGGTCCTGGGTTCGATCATCGGTGAGGTGCGTGCTGGTGAAGAGTCTTAAACTAACACGAAACAACCATTCAGTACTCCTAAGTTTTCAATGGTTTCTTAACTGAAAAAAGTGTTAACTTCGTAGATTATTATTTTCTTTTGAATGAAAACAACAAAACTGTGGGCGACATGGTTCATTCACTGAAGCACCCGACTTTAAGCCGATGGCTCCAAAGTCTTGGCTTAGCCTTGTCAATTGCATAGTATTGTCAGCCCTCAGCCCATAATAAGTGTGGCATACAGACTAGTGCACCATCGGAAATTCTGTTACGGACAATTAAGTTCCATGATAAAAACATCTAATTGAACAAGTAGAAGATATAATTATTACTTGTGAAATGTTTGAAATAAGCATAGACAAAGTATATACGCTTCCTTCTAAAGCAAGCAGTCAACCGGTAATCTGCAAGGACAACCAAGAAGTCTTACTAAAAGAAATTCATGTCCAGAGACAGACACAGAAAAAGCTAAGACGTATAGAGATTTACGTACACACACATCAAAAGGCTACTTTTAACGTGCTATCTAAGGCAAGCAACCGATTAGTTTCCATCAGTCAGTTTTGTGAAATGTCAGTCATGACGTTTCAGAATCCTATTACTACAGAGCCCTTAATTTTGACACTAGTTGACATATCGACATAATTTCTTGAAGGAGTCATGCAGGCATAAACGGATTTTTATCTTACTTTTAGTCATTCCCAAGTACAAGAATAATTAATAAGCAAAACAATTAGCATTTTAAGACTAAAAAAGAAACTTGACACATATTTTTTCATCTCAAGTAGAACATAGGGCTCCAGACTTAAAGTTTTAGTAGAGATAGTGGTGTTATTTTACAGAATGGAATTGGTATCCATACACCTATTCTTCCCTCTTTTTTGAATTGCCTATTCGCCAGTAAGTTAGGTGAGGTTTGGGACTATGCCTGACAGGAATCGAACTCTAGACCATGTGAGTAGTTGGTGAGCATTCTGACTGACTGACTGGTTTCAACGTAGAACTCTATACAGATAAGCAGCAGTAAGAGTTGCCACATTCCCGCCATTCAGTACACAAAGCAAAAGAAGAGAGGAAAGAGAGATTCAAAAGAAAGAGATAAAAAGAAATATGAGGTAAATAGAATAGTAATATGGAAGAACAATATAGTTTAATTGGGTATCATAAGTCCCAAAGAGTGAATGTATCGGCGCCAGCCATTGAGAACGATTTTGATCCCTAACACCAATTGTTTCCAGGCTTCATTGGTTTTTACCATCCCGAAGATCTCAATCAGTCAGGCAGTCCATAACTTTCTACATAACTGGCTAGCTTAAACTAAGTGTTGTGGATTTCATTGACTGACGTCATGGTTTGGTTGGACCACCACTAGCTCTTTCCCAACCTGATCAATCCTATGTCAGTCAGCTGACACTGCCCGTCGGTCGAGGAAAGCGATGGCTAGGGATGCATGTGCAACACATATCCCAACCATCTCTTTCAATCGGTGTAACTTCACAACCTCGTCCATTGGTTTCCCCTCCCACCTACCTAGCATTCGACTGAAACCTAACCTCAATATTGCTCACCTTATCACACCTAACACGCAACAAACACAAAAGATATAACGCAGAAACCTATGATTAAAGACAGCTAGCCAGCCTTTTCATGTCTTCCACTTTCAATGGTCATCTCTCACAGCCATATGGGTGAACAGAGCAGACTGCTGAGAAGTACACACGTCCTTTGGTCGATAGACAGCCGGATATCATGTCTACTAAGCCAGAGATGGCGTAAGTTGGTGTATATTAAACGAGCCTTTTGTATCCATACTGAGATGTTGTCAGGGTGAACATTCTACCAATGAAGCACCGACTCACATGCCTTATAATGTATACAATCGGTTGATAAGGTAGGATTTAATTGAAAATCAAATTTGCATAAAACTTTTTAAAATTTC